CAATGCTCTTCCAACTGAGCTACGCAGTCAGGACGGTTCGAGTAAGTGATATTTCGGAACAGTATCTGGTTCGTTCAATACCAATATCTTCTAGTAATATGAATTTTTTTTTTCTCTGTGTTGGTGTTGTGTACTCAGGTGAATAATATGTTTGCCATGTTACTCTGAGTGCATATCCACACCGGGCGAGCTTGAAAATATGCCCGGCCACGGTGGGATTCGAACCTACGATCTTTGGAATACTAGCCCAATGCTCTTCCAACTGAGCTACGCGGTCAGGACGGTTCGAGTAAGTGATATTTCGGAACAGTATCTAGTTCCTTCAATACCAATATGTTCTAGTAATATGAATTTTTTTCTTCTCTGTGTTGGTGTTCTGTACTCAGGTGAATAATATGTTTGCCATGTTATCTGAGTGCATATCCACACCGGGCGAGCTTGAAAAATATGCCCGGCCACGGCCCGACTCGAACCTACGACCTTTGGAATACTACCCCAATGCTCTTCCAACTGAGCTACGCGGTCAGGACGGTTCGAGTAAGTGATATTTCGGCACAGTATCTAGTTGCTTCAATACCAATATGTTCTACTAATATGAATTTTTTTTTTCTGTGTTGGTGTTCTGTACTCAGGTGAATAATATGTTTGCGATGTTACTCTGAGTGCATATCCACACCGGGCGACCTTCAAAAATATGCCCGGCAACGGTAGGATTCGAACCTACGACCTTTGGAATACTAGCCCAATGCTCTTCCAACTGAGCTACGCAGTCAGGACGGTTCGAGTAAGTGATATTTCGGAACAGTATCTAGTTCCTTCAATACCAATATGTTCTAGTAATATGAATTTTTTTTCTGTGTTGGTGTTGTGTACTAAGGTGAATAATATGTTTGCGATGTTACTCTGAGTGCATATCCACACCGGGCGAGCTTGAAAAATATGCCCGGCCACGGTAGGATTCGAACCTACGACCTTAGGAATACTAGCCCAATGCTCTTCCAACTGAGCTACACGGTCAGGACGGTTCGAGTAAGTGATATTTCGGAACAGTATCTGGTTCCTTCAATACCAATATGTTCTAGTAATATGAATTTTTTTTTCTCTGTGTTGGTGTTGTGTACTCAGGTGAATAATATGTTTGCCATGTTACTCTGAGCGCATATCCACACCGGGCAAGCTTGAAAATATGCCCGGCCACGGTGGGATTCGAACCTACGACCTTTGGAATACTAGCCCAATGCTCTTCCAACTGAGCTACGCAGTCAGGACGGTTCGAGTAAGTGATATTTCGGAACAGTATCTAGTTCCTTCAATACCAATATGTTCTACTAACATGAATTTTTTTTTCCTGTGTTGGTGTTGTGTACTCAGGTGAATAATATCTTTGCGATGTTACTCTGAGTGCATATCCACACCGGGCGAGCTTGAAAAATATGCCAGGCCACGGTGGGATTCGAACCTACGACCTTTGGAATACTAGCGCAATGCTCTTCCAACTGAGCTACGCGGTCAGCATGGTTCGAGTAAGTGATATTTCGGAACAGTATCTAGTTCCTTCAATACCAATGTGTTCTTGTAATATGAATTTTTTTTTCTGTGTTGGTGTTGTGTACTCAGGTGAATAATATGTTTGCGATGTTACTCTGAGTGCATATCCACACCGGGCGAGCTTGAAAAATATGCCCGCCCACAGTGGGATTCGAACCTACGACCTTTGGAATACTAGCCCAATGTTCTTCCAACTGAGTACGCGGTCAGGACGGTTTGAGTAAGTGATATTTCGGAACAGTATCTAGTTCCTTCAATACCAATATGTTCTAGTAATATGAATTTTTTTTTCCTGTGTTGCTGTTGTGTACTCAGGTGAATAATATGTTTGCGATGTTACTCTGAGTGCATATCCACACCGGGCGAGCTTGAAAAATATGCCCGGCCACGGTGGGATTCGAACCTACGACCTTTGGAATACTAGCCCAATGTTCTTCCAACTGAGCTACGCGGTCAGGACGGTTCGAGTAAGTGATATTTCGGAACAGTATCTAGTTCCTTCAATACCAATATGTTCTACTAATATGAATTTTTTTTTCCTGTGTTGGTGTTGTGTACTCAGGTGAATAATATGTTTGCGCTGTTACTCTGAGTGCATATCCACCCCGGGCCACCTTGAAAAATATGCCCGGCCACGGTAGGATTCGAACCTACGACCTTTGGAATACTAGCCCAATGCTCTTCCAACTGAGCTACGCGGTCAGGACGGTTCGAGTAAGTGATATTTCGGAACAGTATCTAGTTGCTTCAATACGAATATGTTCTAGTAATATGAATTTTTTTTTTCTGTGTTGGTGTTGTGTACTCAGGTGAACAATATGTTTGCGCTGTTACTCTGAGTGCATATCCACACCGGGCGAGCTTGAAAAATATGCCCGGCCACGGTGGGATTCGAACCTACGACCTTTGGAATACTAGCCCAATGCTCTTCCAACTGAGCTACGCGGTCAGAACGGTTCGAGTAAGTGATATTTCGGAACAGTATCTAGTTCCTTCAATACCAATGTGTTCTAGTAATATGAATTTTTTCTGTGTTGGTGTTGTGTACCAGGTGAATAATATGTTTGCGATGTTACTCTGAGTGCATATCCACACCGGGCGAGCTTGAAAAATATGCCTGGCCACGGTGGGATTCGAACCTACGACCTTTGGAATACTAGCCCAATGCTCTTCCAACTGAGCTATGCGGTCAGGACGGTTCGAGTAAGTGATATTTCGGAACAGTATCTAGTTCCTTCAATACCAATATGTTCTAGTAATATGAATTTTTTTCTGTGTTGGTGTTGTGTACTCAGGTGAATAATATGTTTGCGATGTTACTCTGAGTGGATATCCACACTGGGCGAGCTTGAAAAATATGCCCGGCCACGGTAGGATTCGAACCTACGACCTTTGGAATACTAGCCCAATGCTCTTCCAACTTAGCTACGCGGTCAGCACGGTTCGAGTAAGTGATATTTCGGAACAGTATCTAGTTCCTTCAATACCAATATGTTCTAGTAATATGAATTTTTTTCTTCTCTGTGTTGGTGTTCTGTACTCAGGTGAATAATATGTTTGCCATGTTATCTGAGTGCATATCCACACCGGGAGAGCTTGAAAAACATGCCCGGCCACGGCCCGACTCGAACCTACGACCTTTGGAATACTAGCCCAATGCTCTTCCAACTGAGCTATGCGGTCAGGACGGTTCGAGTAAGTGATATTTCGGAACAGTATCTGGTTGCTTCAATACCAATATCTTCTAGTAATATGAATTTTTTTTTTCTCTGTGTTGGTGTTGTGTACTCAGGTGAATAATATGTTTGCCATGTTACTCTGAGTGCATATCCACACCGGGCGAGCTTGAAAATATGCCCGGCCACGGTGGGATTCGAACCTACGACCTTTGGAATACTAGCCCAATGCTCTTCCAACTGAGCTACACGGTGAGGACGGTTCGAGTAAGTGATATTTCGGAACAGTATCTAGTTCCTTCAATACCAATATGTTCTAGTAATATGAATTTTTTTTTCTCTGTGTTGGTCTTGTGTACTCAGGTGAATAATATGTTTGCGCTGTTACTCTGAGTGCATATCCACACCGGGCGACCTTGAAAAATATGCCCGGCCACGGTAGGATTCGAACCTACGACCTTTGGAATACTAGCCCAATGCTCTTCCAACTGAGCTACGCGGTCAGGACGGATCGAGTAAGTGATATTTCGGCACAGTATCTAGTTCCTTCAATACCAATATGTTCTAGTAATATGAATTTTTTTTTTCTCTGTGTTGGTGTTCTGTACTCAGGTGAATAATATGTTTGCGATGTTACTCTGAGTGCATATCCACACCGGGCGAGCTTGAAAATATGCCCTGCCACGGTGGGATTCGAACCTACGACCTTTGGAATACTAGCCCAATGCTCTTCCAACTGAGCTACGCGGTGAGGACGGTTCGAGTAAGTGATATTTCGGAACAGTATCTAGTTCCTTCAATACCAATATGTTCTAGTAATATGAACTTTTTTTCTCTGTGTTGGTGTTGTGTACTCAGGTGAATAATATGTTTGCGATGTTACTCTGAGTGCATATCCACACCGGGCGAGCTTGAAAATATGCCCGGCCACGGTGGGATTCGAACCTACGATCTTTGGAATACTAGCCCAATGCTCTTCCAACTGAGCTATGCGGTCAGGACGGTTCGAGTAAGTGATATTTCGGAACAGTATCTAGTTCCTTCAATACCAATATGTTCTAGTAATATGAATTTTTTTTCTCTGTGTTGGTGTTGTGTACTCAGGTGAATAATATGTTTGCGATGTTACTCTGAGTGCATATCCACACCGGGCGAGCTTGAAAAATATGGCCGGCCACGGTGGGATTCGAACCTACGACCTTTGGAATACTAGCCCAATGCTCTTCCAACTGAGCTACGCGGTCAGGACGGTTCGAGTAAGTGATATTTCGGAACAGAATCTAGTTCCTTCGATACCAATGTTTTCTAGTAATATGAATTTTTCCTGTGTTGGTGTAGTGTACTCAGGTGAATATGATATTTGTGGTGTTACTCTGAGTGTATATCCACACCGGGCGAGCTTGAAAAATATGCCCGGCCACGATGGGATTCGAACCTACGACC